GAAGAATAATAAACTTTTGTTGGAAGGTACTAGGTGTTCCTTTGCCCAATTAGCTCAGAACGTACTGCTAAATGTCTCCAAACAAGTTTGATTAGGGTAGTCTTAGATTAACAATGTGTTGAGCTAAACCTAAATGCTGCACACTATTAAAGTAGGAGACAAAAATATGAATAAAAACAAAATAAAATTTCTGGTTTTTCTTTGAAGTGCAGAAATGGCTGTTAAAGCCCTGAAACAACAAGCAAATATCGTTTCTTTGTCCATTTGTTCTGGGGGTTTTTTTTTATGTTTTTTTTTCTTTAGCTCAGTATTCACCTGGTTTTTATTTAAGGCATTAATGATGTTTCCATGGAAATAATCAAGTCTAAAAGAAATATGATGGACTTGCATGATATGTGTTCACTTTTAGTAGCTTTGTAGTCCATTCCTTTTCCAAGACCTAGGCATCTTCACTAGTGTCAGATTAAAGTAATCTTACATGACATTTGATTAATTTTGCTTCCGAAAAAATATTTTTCTTCCTTTTATGTTAAAATACTTAGAGAGAAGAAGACAGCAGCCCATCTACAAAGCTGCTTGCAGCCATATTGATTAAATTGCATCAGCCCATCAGGTAAAGAGGCTTTAAAAGAAGAAATCTTTTTGGCTGTTTTTTTCTATTAGATATGTGGCTGTTTTATTTAGTTTGTCTACTTCTTATGAAGTCAAATGAAAAGATATTTTATTTGAAACACACACATATATATATATATATATATATATATATATATANATATATATATATATATATATATATATATATATATATATATATATATATATATATTAATATATATCTACATAAAACCGGTGGTAAAATCAGATAAGACAAAGGCCATCGATAATTTAAAGAACAAAAAAATAGAACAAATAATAACATTTTAAATGAGTCAGTTTTAAATAACCTAATTTCAATAGCCACTTTTGACATTCTACAATATGTTGTAATTATAAATATCACAAAAAGCAATAAAGCTCTGTGATGTTCCTCTTTCAGGCCTAAATACTTAAGGCATGGTCTCCCTTTGCTTAAGCATGAACCGTGGCATTTTAAGCAAAATTGATTTTCTGATTTAAGGGTTCTAGGGCACAATAAGAGGTGTACAGCCAGAAGGAAGTGAATGCAAAGTAAAGGGGAGAAAGAGCATGTAGTGATTTAAAAGCAATCAATGAAATGTTTAATCAAAAGGAAAGCAAGCCCGACTTAACCAGTAGTGGTGTGATGTATTCCCTTGGTGCATTTGTTGGAGAGCTGATGCTGCATTTTGCATCACTTGCCCTGAGAAACCACCTCATTGTTTTGGTAAATACCCACTAATCTGCAGGATTCTAGTTGATAAGATTTGATAAATAAAAAACATGTGGGCTGGTATGGATTTCTGACAAAATTAAAATTTATAATTAAAAAAAAACTATAATTTCATAGTATTATGATATTGTCAACATTTCAAAGAAGATAACATGATCCAATTGTTTTTATATAATTACAATCATAACTATACACTTTTTTTTTTTACATTTGATTTTGATGTTAAAAAATGTTTGTAGACATATTTTCTACTTTTACTAATTGTACAGTAGCTTTATTTAAGCCAGCTGTTTGGCAGTGCAGAGGCAACAGGGGACATTTTTATTTAATCTTTTTAAGACATTAATTCTTAACGAAGAGAATTAGTTCCACTTTAGATATAGCAATTATCGAAAATTCTGAGTCAGTTCTCTGAATTCTTTTAAATTGTAGATAAAGATAAAATCAAATGCAAGAAAAATATTTTTTTAGTAAGATGACCTTTGATAGTGCTGCACTTAATATCAATAAGGTATTATTATTACATTATATTACATTTATACATTCTCTATAGTCCTGAAAGCCAAAACTATGAAATCAACACTGTGGATAAAGATGAAAGATTGAGCGTTCACTAAAAGGTTTTATCTATCTTCAGAAAACATTTAAAAAACATTACAAAAAATTCCATAAGAAGTGGCACGGGGCTTCTTTTTCCCCAAAGTATAATCATGCAGGATTTAAAGACTTCACAATCGTCACATATCTCACATCTTTAATCCGTAGGTTTCTCAGAAACTGGAAAAATTGAAGCATATTCCAGTCAGTGAGCATTCAGCGTTATATATCCTCCATCAGAAGCTAAAAATCCTATTCTAAAGTAACAGCTCTGCTCACACCTCCCCGTTATTATAATAAACTAAAAAAAAAGGGAACAGAAAAAGAAAACCATGCCCTCTATTTGTGTTTACCGGTGTGCTTTTATCTAATCTACCGCATCTCCCCCCCAACATACACCACAACCTCTTCTTTTTCAGTGTTTATTCAAATATTTTCTGTTCCTTTGTTGGAGACTCAGAATGACTGTATGACCTCGGTCGAGTACCTGTCAGCAAATACAGCAGCAGAGCTTGTACTGAGAAGGTAGCTTCTGATACATCTTTTTACCTCTGAAGTCATCAAGTCAAACACACAGAGAGGTTGCAGGCATAAATCTGGATCGGGTGCAGACACCCCATTCTCCAGTCTGTAAAAGTTTAGCACCAACTCTCAAAGGAACAGTTAAACACCCTATATTCCAAAGCTTAACATAGTTTGGTAGATTGTAAACCTGAGTAGAACTAAGAGCATCTTTATACATCTATAGCAGAGTCTACGTTTTTCTTCATATTTCCCTACCAAATTATAATAAGACCTCTGTTTTCAAAAAAGATCAGTAAATGGCCGTGTTTTTTTTTTTTTTTTTTTATAGATAATGGAATAAGGATTTGAGTCAAGAACATTTTTGTTTCGCTTTTTTAAATTTCTTAATTTAAAATAAGTTATATTTTTTCTTGAACTGAGGAGGAAAGTGAGACACTTTGCCAGTGGTACAAGACAATTTACATTTGAAATAAGAAAAAAACAATTGCATTGTCTTATTTCAAGTGCATATTATCTAATTATCTTGTTTTAAGAAAAATACTCATACCTTTGGCAAATCATATCCTTAAATTAAGGGTAAATGCACTTAATTTAAGATGCTTTTTTACTTATTTCTATATTGTTTTTTGCAGTGTATGTTTTAACAACATTGAAACCATAACTCTGGCTACAGGTTTATGATTGTGTTCCTGTCAGGTTGAGTGGAGGTTTGAAGAGGACCCAAATGCAGAGACAGAAGCTGAGGTGGTTTCTTGCAGATTTAATGACCAAAAGAGAGCAACTGAAGCAAAACTACACAAAAAAAAAAAAAAAAAAAAAAAAAAAAAACAGGAGACATCCAGGAAAACACACGAGGAGCAAGGAATGACAAGAAAGCAGCAAACAGTAACTGAAGAGGAGGAGTATATATATGCCAAAAAGAGCAAAGAATGGGGTAATCAACTGATGGGGAGCAGGTGTGGAGAGAAGGATCCAGAAGGGAGATAGGGGAAAAGAGAGAAACATAAGAGGGCAACAAAGGGTAAACAAAAAAATAACTCAAATACATCCAGAAAACAAAACAAAAAAAGGGAAACGAAACCAACGAAAACTCAAAAAGAAAACTTCAACAGAACTAAAAAATGCAATCCGTGACATTTCCTGTCAGAAGAAAGGACATATCCAGTGTACATTTTTAAAGAGGTTATATTTCTCTTTTCCAGTATTTCCCGACACATAACTTGATCTCTCTTACAAATTACTCTTAAAACATTCAACTCTACTTCCAAAGAAAAAACACCAAAATTTTTTGCTATGTTTTATTAAGCCTTTTAGTTTTTCCTCTTCCCTCATGAGTTTGATGCATTTCTCACAGTTTACGGCCGACCTTAAATGGAGCTTTTTCTTGCTATTCCTCCACAAAGCCCAGATTTGTTGACTCCACAAATACTGTCAATAGAGTCACTCATTTAAACCATCTTTTTATACATCTCCAGAGTTCCCATAGGTGTTTAAGCAGCTTTCCAGATCAATGTCCCCCTTAACAAATATAATTGTTTAGGGGAACATTCATATTTTTTCTAATTTTACAGTTATTGTTCAGTCTTTCCTTTCTCCAATCAAATGCAGGTGGATATTCCCATTCACCCACATTGTGGCATCTTATCCTCAACTAAAAACCTGCTACTTCAAACCTTTTACAGAGCTGAAAAAATGACTTAAAAACAGGTGAAATGTCGTCAGGAAACAAGAAAAAAGGTCAAGTTCATTTCTAATTAGTTGCTTAGAATTCTACGATGACTGACTGTGAAGAGTAAAAATCTAAGCTTGGGAACTTGCTTAATAATCTCACCCTGCTTTAAAGTTTGTCCTTGATTTGGTTGCTGTTTTCTTTGCTGTTTCATCACCAAAGCCCTTAAAACTTTAAGGCCTTTAGAGGTTAGATAGATTTACTGTATACTTGAACTAAATAACAGACAGTCAGAGTCTTGTCCATCATGTCTGAATTGCATTTTAAAGTAATGGAGTAAAACAATCAGATTATAAGTGTGTTTTTCTACTCTTTATTTGTAATATTAAAACAAATGCACTGTTCTGTTATGTCTGTTTGAAAAAATATTCCATAGAAATGTAATAGTCTATGTGGAATGAACAAAGGTATAGGCAAACGTATGTGTGCTTTGAGTCCCTTGGAGGCTTTATTTTTCAGAGCATGTTTAATACCTTTATTGAGAGAAGAGCCAACATTTGAATGTTAATGAAATACTTATGCTATATTTACTTTTCATGCTATTTCTAAGGTGCTCAATGTTCTTTTTTTTCTTAATAGTGAAATAAACAATATTCTGTTTATTTATAGCTCCATTTCTCAGTAATTCTAATGGATTTTTCTGGTTATGCTTAGTGGGTTTGCTTGGAGCAGTGCCATGTGCTTCTATTTAGGGTTCAGTAGCAGACTGCAGTCTAGATCAAACTTTTAGATACAGACTAATGTACAAAGTAAAAAAAAAAAACATTAACAAAATAAATGAAAATCCAAAAGCATTCTTACCAGATGCACTCGGTAGAGGATGCTGATTCCCAGGGACATGAATGGCTTGGAGAAATCAATCACCTTCTCTCTCTCTGAGGTTATAGTGAAGCCAGCCACTGCCAGGTCTGCTTTCTAAAGCAAGATGAGGAAAGAACAAAGCAGATATGAATGTTTAGTATCAGTTACAACAAGGTACTTATAAAGTCTAAAAGAAAAAAATTAAGGTACAGAGGAACAGAAATGAAAAGGATTCCATTATTTTGTTTGTGTTTCAACAAAAATTGAATAAAGCTGAAATTGGAATAGTAATATCTTCAAAGAATAGACTCTAGGAGACCAACAGAGGTTAGTGGAGATCTCATGGAAAATAAGATAGAAAAAGTTACAAAAGACAGAAGAAGAGTAAAGAGCTTCAAGTGCATTTAAGAGAAGCTGAAATTGGGGTAAAACCAAAACAGAAAAGACAGGATAATCGAGATAAAAAGCAATTAACAACTGATATAGTAATAGAAATATATTGTGCTTGAGAGAATTAGGAAAGCAAAAACTGCATGATATAACTAAATTAATTTTAATGGAAATGCTTTCTTTGTTTGTTCTTCTAATGAATGTAATTAGCAGAAGAACCAGTAAATTACATTAATGTTTAACTGTTCTGCATTACAGAAAACACTTTGGGAGGATTGTAAAGCTGTTAGAAACAATGTTTTTCGGTAATTATATTCTAACATTTTTGCTCTTAGCTACAAACACAGGGTTGAGGGTTTAAACCCATTTTCAAAAACGATTTAGCAAAAATGAATCTTATCTTAAACTAACATAAGAGGTTTTTCAAGGATCAAATGGGGATTAATTTGGCATTAACATACAAAAAAGAAGAATAGTGTTGGGTGTATTATTTATACGCTTTGTTTCTAAACGTACCCAGCCCAGGTAACAGAATCTAAGCAAAATCACAATAATCATATATTCTTATATGCAAACAGTTCATATTTATCTTTTTTTTTTTCTAGACACTTTTCAGGATAATTTATTTAAAAAAAATTGGGTCACTCTCTTCATAACAGTAGTGCAGCTGATAGGGTTCTATGGGCAATGCTGTGGGCAAATATATTTTATTAAATACCACAACTGTGGTTATTAAAACAGTATTTTAAATGATTTATTTCACATATCTATTTTTTGTTCTAACCAAAGAAAGCCCTTAAATGGAATTTCTCTTTTATTTCACTGATATAACAGAAACATCTGGCAACGATACAGCTCTTTTATCATGGTGTTATTATGCTGCACTCTGAATTGGTAAATAGAATGAGTAACATGAAAATAGTTTACTTATGCAGCTCTTTTCAGAGTTGTGCCTCAAATAGAAATTATATTAATGGGTTAAATTTATAAAAAACACTAAATATGTAAACATTTTTAATCTGAATAAATATAATAAAATATGCATACGTATAAGTTAGGTTTTTCACTGTTTATAAAAAGAAAGAACCCTAACAGAAGAATAGGAAGAACTGTAAACAACAATCAAAATTTTCCCAACACTACATTTTATAAAATGGCTTCGAAAGAGCATGGTGCGACCTGGGATGATGTCAAGACTGCCTTCTTCACCTGAACAAGGAAATCTCACAATTATAACCAAACATAACTTCCTGAATGTTTTGGGTGCCACCATTTTGATTTGCTTGATTCCCTCCTTCAAAGCTAGCAGTAGTACTTTAGATCTTCACTAGGAATCAAGGAACCGTGCTAGCGTGATGTGTAAATGGACGTAAGGAACTAAGCTCGGCACGGTTAACTTATCCAAACTCGGTCTGAACTCGGCACTGATCGGTCTCAGATGGTAGTGTAAAAAGGGGCTATAGAGTGACAGTCAATGCTCTTTCAGGCTTACTTTTCTTTGCCTAATGAATTGTACTGTAATAAGTCTTTGAGATCAGAAATAATGACTTGATTTCTGTTTCATGAAGCCTGGAATTAGAAATTATATGTTTTCACATTTTAAGATGCATGATCAAACGGTATTTGTCATGAAAAGTTTTTATCATGAATATGCTGTTATAATGAAATATACAAAATAATCTGTTCAGTTGAGTAATGCCAAAGTGAAGAACCTTTGTGCATAACATGAAACATAGCATCAGACCATTGAAGAGAAGAAGTTGATTGATTGATTGATTGATTGATTGATTGATTGATTGATTGATTGATTGATTGATTGATTGATTGATTGATTGATCTCACAGTGGAGAAATGTACTCGTTACATCAGCTCAAATGGTCAAAACAAAGAAGGTGCCAAAGGAAGAAAAGGTGCATGGGGATATATGCGGTATATACATAATTATGATAATAAAAAGAAATAGGAAAAAAAAGGCTGAAATGAAACAACAGATCTGTCAGTGGAATGATTTCAACAACGATTACTACCTTTGCAGTTTAAATTCTGCAAAGGTCAATAAATGATCAGATGACATGAGAGGTTGTTTCATTTTTGGGGAAAATAGTGTAATTTAATAGATTCTTACGAAAACAAGCACTCACAAAATATCTTTTAAAAATTTGCATTCTTTCATTCAAATTTTACTAGTATTTGATAATTCTGTTTAAAAAAAAAAAAACTTGCCATATTTAAATACCAGAAATCCTAATTAATCTACCCCCGCTTTGTGTTTTCACTCTACTATTAAATTTAATTGCTTAGTGTAAAGAAATCCATCCTTGGTTTGATAAATCTGTTTAAGATTTTAAAGTCCAGCTGCCTTAAAACTGCAACACATACTTCTTTAATTTAGCTTCACTAACAGTCAGGCCCTTTCTCTATTCTTAGTGTGGCTATATATCATTCATATTTTGTCTGTCAGGCTATCACAGTTTTTTTTCCTTACTGGTTACCCAAAATGCTGCAAGATAAATGACTTTTAGATAAAACAGGCTTCCTCAGGGCTCATGTTGCCGAATGTCCTCAGACTGTCTGGCAGATAATGTTGATTAGCTGACTCTGTCTGAATGACAACTACATACTGTAGCCAGTTCCTCTTAAACTAAGACAAAAAAATATACATATTGTACTCATAAATATAGTTTTAACTTAATGACCCTCTAGATAGGACTGCCTTTTGCCGCTTTATACCCTGAAATCACATTAAAAATATCCTATACCAATTTGTTGCCTTTAAGTTAAGTATAGTAACTTTGGAATTGGCAATTGAGGACCAATGAAATGTGTCCTATATGAATTTATCTTTTTGGATTAAGGAATTTGATTGCAATGTGCTATACAAGCTAATGAATGTTCAGTGGCTTTTTTGCTCATTCAATATGTGTGTTAAAACAATATTAAGAACAGGAAATAACAACATAGGCAATCAACTTCAACTTATTATGACAGGAGCTGTAAAGGATTATTTAAGATACTGATTATTCAAACACATCTCATAAATGTGTCAAAAATAACTGGACATATGAGGCTACGTAAATGGTCATATTTGGTCTAATTTTTGGAATCATGCTATCAGACACAATGATTCTGCTAGCTGAATTTATTGTTCAACCATTATTAAAAGGCAGAATGAATTCATAGGACACCCGCCAATTTTTCTAAAGTCACTGCTTTACTTTTATGTGACAAGAATACATTTTCTGCAAGATATAAAGATGCTCTTCTAGAAAACAGATGGGTAAAACCTAAGTTAAATTATTATATCATATTATCAGTTGAAGTTTACTTCTTTAAAGCCGAATGATTTAAGCTTGTAGAGATGAAATACGTTGGAAAAGGTCTGGCAAAATGAATTCGCACTCTTATCGATATTCACAGGGGATGAACTAAGTATCTTGTTGAATATCCAGAATTCATTAAAGGATGCATAATTAAGGTCAGCACCTTATTTCTAAACATTTCAACCACCTTTGCTCAGATTCTGGAGCATTTAATGAAATATTGATTTTTATTGTAGAGAAGTCAGTGTTTAAGGTGTTGCTTCCACTGATGCATTTGGACTTAACAGTAAATTGCTATTATGCAGAGGTCAGAGCACAATGAGAAAGCTGATCACTAGAGACTGCCTTTGCTCTTGATTGGATTTTGCAGGTAAATAGTGGTATTACACAATTGAAATAAAGTGATCATTATTGAGACAAATAAGCAACTTTTATCTGAAGCACGGATGCTATTTGTATCATGAACCCAAAATTAGTTATATGTAATTTTAACCCAAGAAAATCTGATTTCTTTTTTTTTATTATTATCATTACTGTAGGTGTGTTTGTCTAACATGCCTTTAGTGCTTAAGTAATCCCTTAACATTTTTTACATAGGCTTAGAACTTAATATGGATAAAGTCGTCATGCCTGAGAAAAAATTAATCAGTGAAATATTACCTGCAGCTCTAATTCAGTCTCTCTATTCTTCCTTGTTAAATATACAGAGGCATATTCTCTTCATCATATCCTTGATCTCATTTTAATACAAAGAGTGGAATATTTCTATTAACTTTTAAAATATGGGAACACAGAGCCTATGAGAGGAAATTTGAGTCTGGTGTACATCTGATCGTACAGACACCAATGAAGAGTAACAACTATATTCTTTTAATTGTCATTATAGCACTTTGGAAACCTTAACTTAACCAATTAGATTCATTTTATTGTTGATTACATTATACCCTCAATTCTAAATGAGAAAATAAAAAAATACATATAAACCTTTCAAGGAGACAGGCGCTTAGGTTTGACTTATAGGTCTATATATTGGAGCATAAAGCCGGCTTTACAAGGTTTTTAGCTGGATTAGGAAATCACTAGATAACTTTACAAGATTTGAAGCTACTGAGGCTAAAACTGGTTCTAAACGTTAACTAGAGGAAAATAGGAGACAAAAAAATAAGCAGCTGCTGTTATCTTTTTTGTTAATCCAAAGCAGTGAAAACTTAATTTGCTTCTTTAACCTCTTTATATAAACCTCATTTTGGGAAATTCTCACATATTTTGCATACCCAAATGGAAAAGCAAATAACTTAGGAACTGTAAGCTCAGAATAGATGTGATACATTATTTGAAACACCCAAGCTGCATCAGTTCAAACATGACTCAAAGTTAGTTTTGTTTAATTCTCAAAAATAATAG